TGTTGGTGAGCGCTCAGTAACTTCGACTAAGCGCTTAGTGATCCACACTGCCTGCTCAGTCTTATCTTATCATCACGTGACTCATATCATAGTTCTTCTGTCTCCAAGTGAGTCCCTGTTGTTCCTGTGATCCTGCAGTATAAATATCCTGTCCTAGCCGCCCGACGCCTAAGTAGGTCGTTCAGCTGTTATCCTTATTTATAGGTTGTAACATCAGGTCCCCTCTCTAAAGGTCTTATCCTCAAGACCTAACATAAGTAGGTCGTTAGTCCCAGGTTGGGGATCTGTCAATTGTGCTTCCTGATTTACTTATAATGCTGACACTATATTAGGTTGCGTTCCTGAAAATCCTGCGATTTCTACTCTTCGTTGTTATCGTCGTTCCCTCAACATTGCAGAGAACAGGTTTGAAGTTATGCCTTATCGTCGCTGTCAGTCTAAGGGGTTGCACTGTAAAATGCTGCCTAGCTCCTTAGTTTGCGGAGAATATGTCGCCGTGGGTGGCACTCGTCGTTCGTGCAATACTTCCGACGATGCGATCTGTCAATATTTGTGTAGTCCCTGAGGCCTGTTATGTTTTGCTCATGCTGACTTATATGTAGTGGAACGTTTAATAGTTAAATCTCAGCGTTTGGACGATGAGGAGGAAGAAACTGAGGAACTATTTCGAAAGAGAATGGAGGTGCTGCAAAAGGCGCAGGCTGAAGTGAATGAGGCGCTTGCGAAACTGGATCGTGTCCGCAAGGCTAAGCGAATAGTGTTCAAAAAGGGTCGCAAGGAGACTTCAGTAGTGGCTGAAGAGGAGGGGGCAGCAAATCCTTCCCCTGTTAAGTCTTCCTTGGTTCTTGAGGCGCGGTCGGTGGGTGCTTTTGGTGCGATAGACCTGGATACCATCCTTGGCGATTAGAATCCAGGCACTCCAAACTTCTTATTAGAGGCGTCTTAGTTGATTTCTGGTGTTCCTAGGCGGATAAATAGTTTTCCTTATCGCAGCCGATCTACTTCAGTAGGTGGTCTAGTGAAGTGATATAGGTGCTTGATCTGCTTATATCCACTGTTCTTTTGGGCTAGTATAACAGGTGCTAGTGTGACTTTTCGCTCTTAATGTTATTGCCAGTAGATCGTGAGTTCTTCTGCTGCGTTAGTGATATTTTTAGCTGGTTCCTATATATTGTCTTTATGTCTGTATCCTTTCTATTTGACGAGGTATTAATACCCTTCTAGTTCTTTGAGATAGTCGATAATTCGTTCGACTTCATACTCTGGTTCGTTATCTTCAACGATAATAATATCGTTTGTCTGTGATCCACGTGGTGCTGGTTCAAGGAGTGAGACATAGAATACTGGGTGACACTTCATGGTTTCTAGGAGTCCTAGTTTGTAGTTAACTGGTGAGATTACTCATGAAATTTTGAAAGGTCTGAGTTTTTTATAGTTGAGTTTGTCGTTTGGTCGCTTTGTTTTGATGTTTCGCCGTATGAGATAGGCGCTATCTCCCTCTTTTAAGGTTAGTCCCTTAATCCTTCGTTTGTTGCTGAATTTTGTCATTCTTTGTCGTACCAATTCAAGTTCTTTGCGTGCGTTTTCCTGGATATCCTTGATTTAGCGTATTGAGGCGACAGCTTTTACTGCAGCTGGGCCTGTTTGGGGTTCTCCATAGGCGGTTGGTTTGAATCTATAGTTGAGGTAGAAGGGGGATTCCTTAGTACTTTCTCCTACTGCGCTGTTATAGGCGAACTGGGCTATTAGTAGCAATACAACCTAATTATCTTGGTTGTAGTTAACGTAGGCGTGGAGATATGTTTCGAGGATTTAGTTGATTCGTTCTGTTTGTCCGTCGGTCTGCAGGTGGAATGCAGTGGATATTAATTGTTTGATGCTGAGTTGTGATGTGATTAACTTCCAGAATTTAGAAGTGAAGATCTTATCTCTATCTGATATAATTTCTCTAGGCGTTCTGTGGTTAGCGATAATATATTTAAGAAATATATAGGCATATTCTTCGGCGTTGCTTAATTCCTTATATGGGATGAAGTAGGCGTACTTCGTGAGTCGGTCCACAATAACAAGAACGCTGTCAAAGTGTGTTCCCATAAGGGGTTCTTAAGACTTCAGTAATTTGACGATAAAGTCGAGGGATATGGATTGCTAGGCGGTTTGCAGCACAGGCAAGGGTTGTAGCATACCATAAGGTTGATGTCGAGCAGGTTTGCTTTTGAGGCAGGCCTCACAATCCTTAATTGCTTTTGCCACTCGTTCTCTGGTGACCTTTTCCCTATATTATTGTCGTAGTCGTTTCTAGGTTTTCATGATTCCTTAGTGACCATATGCAGGGCGAGCATGAAACTCCATAATTGCTTCGTCGTCTAGTTCGTTAGGCGGGCTAGTACTAGATCGTCCAGCCATTATTAAGAGTTTGGTTGCTAGCACTAGGTCTCTGTCGTTATTTCCTTTGAGAATCACCTAGGTTTCTTCAGGTACTAGGATGTTGTAGTCTGGTCGTCAGCTAAGAGCGTCAGCTCTGCTATTATCTGATCCTTTGCGGTGGATGATTCAGAAGTTGAACTCTGATAGGAATTCTGACTATCTAATCTGTCGTTTATTCAACACTTTTAAAGTTGTGAAGTGTGAAAGGTTCTTATGGTCTGAATATATAAGTACTTCGTGTGTGGTTCCTGAGAGCTCAGGTCTCTATTCCTTAAAGGCTTCGATGATTGCCATAAGTTCCTTATCGTGAACCTGATAGTTGAGTTTAGGTCTGTGGAGCTTGCGAGAAAAGAAGGCACACAGGTGTAGTCGTCCTTCTGAATCTCGTTAAGATAATTATGCTCCTATCGCATAGTCGGATGCGTCGGGTTCTACTTCAAACTGTTTTGTTAGATCTAGAATGCTCAAGACGGGCTCGCTAGCGATAAGGTCCTTGATCTTCTGGAATGCTGTTCGTTATGGTTCTTCCTATATAAAGGGCGTGTCTTTGCAGCTGAGGCTTATGAGAGCTGCGTTGATCTTGCCATAGTCTTTGATAAATTTGCGGTAGAAGTTAACAAAACCTAGAAATCCTTGGACTTCCTTGAGATTGTTGGGTACCAGCTATTCCTTGATAGCTTTGACTTTGTTTTCTGACATACAGACTTTTCCAGGGGTGATAGTGAAGCTGAGGTATTCCACCCTCTGTGTGTGGAATTCGCTTTTCTCAGGTTCAACTAATAGCTTAGCTTCTTAGAGGGCTTATAAGACGTGGTGTATATCCTCCTTATGTTTCTCAAGTGTTAATGAGAAGATGAGGATGTCGTCGAGATAGACTACTACGCAGATGTTGACGTATTTGCATAAGACTTAGTTGATCATATTTTGGAATATTGCAGGGGCGTTAGTGAGGCCGAAAGGCATGACGATATACTTGAAATGTCCTTTTCGGGTTCTGAAAGCGGTTTTCTATTCTTCTCCTTGCTTTATTCTGATCAGGTTATAGGCTCCTTTGAGGTCGAGGGCTGTGAACCAGTTAGCTCCGTGAAGGAGTCGTCTCATCTTGTCGATAAGTGGTAGTGGGTAGCAGTTCTTGATCGTCATTTCGTTTAGCATGCAGTAGTCAACGCATAATCGTAGTTTTCCGTTCTTTTTAGGTACGAACAGGATTAGGCTTCCTGCTGGTGACGTTGAGGGTCTGATATATCCCTTCTTAAGGTTTTCTTCAAGGTACTTATCTAGGGCTTCTATCTCTGTCTGGTTGAGTCTGTAGATTTTGTTGAAGCGTGGTTCCCTCCCTTTTTTGAGGGGTATTTCGTGGTCGAAACTGGTGTGTTTAGGCAGTCTGGTTTCTAATTCGGCTGCAAAGAGTTTCTTGTAAACTCTATATTCTTCTGGGATAGACAGAAGTGGATCGTTCTTCTGTTCAAGATCTATCGTTATTAGTGGTTGTGATACGGCTTCTTTTGCCTTGAGGTAACAGAGGTATCGTTTTGCTGTTCCTTGTCGTATTGATTCGTTTGAGGCCTGATTCTGACAGGGCTGCTCAGGGACTGAATCATCGTGGTCCTAATGGAGTTGGCCTTTGCTCCAATCTATCTGTGGGTTGCTTGTTCGTAGCCAGGGTAGTCCTAGCACTATGTCGTATATTCCTAGATCGGCAATGTCGAATTGGATTCTTTCTTTTCGATTCAGGTAGCTCATCTCAAGGGGCGCAGTCTCATTATAGATGGTACCTCCTTCGTACTTGAATTCTTCTCCTTCTGCTGTGTGTAGCTGATATGGTTGTTCTTTTCCTCCCCATCGTATTTCTAGCCTATTGATGGCTTGGGGGGCAATGAAGTTTACTTCAGCTCCGCTGTCGATCAGCATAAGTGTTGTCTGCTGGTTGATAGTAACTTTGAGTTCGATATTACCTTTATATCCTTATAACATTTGCTGAATAGATCTTATGTTTGTTGCCTGTTGTGATCTGTCGTCAGTAGGCGAGTCTAGTTTTTTGACTGCTCTGGTTGTCCTAGGTAGGTGATCTGCTTTCCTTCTCGTCATGCTTTTGCGAGGCTGTTTTTGCAGATCCTGACCTGTGGGGGTCTAGGTCTATTCTTTGCGATTCTCTAGGTTTATACCTTTTCTTAGTAGTGAACTTAGCATTCGTCTTATTAGCATTCGTCCTATTTCATGCTGTCGTTATGTTAACATCTCATAGGGAACTGAGGACTAGGTCTGAAGACTGCGAGGTTGTCTTCGAATAGTACCATAGTCCATCCGATCATAGCGGAGGTTGAGTAGATCTCATAGATAGGTTCGTCGTCATATCTTCTGGGGTAGAACTAGTAGTCGTGTTTTTCTCCTATATATTCCTTGCATTTGTCGTGGAAGCACTAGGGCCAGAAGAGGGTTCGGTGAAGCCGGTGGTTGCTTCTCAGCGCAGGATGATCTTTCGTATATAGCTGAGGGGTGTAGCCTCAGTCTCGTTAGGCTGCTGAGGTGCTATAGAAGTGGCGTTATTGCTTGTCTTAAAGCATGTCGATTTCTTAGTATCTCAGAAGTTGCTTGATTCTTCCTTCCTGGTCATCAGGTTCCTCTTCAGAGCTGGAGTCGTCCACACTAGGGGTGAACCTATAGGCGATCTCTATCTGAGTGCGTTGTTAGGCAACGTCGCGAGGTTTATCTGAGTCATAGGAAGAGCTTTCTCCTTCTCCGAAAGTCCAGTTGTTGGTCATACTGAGGAGTTGTTGTTCCATCAGAGGATTGTGTTGGTGTTCTGGTTCTTCTTCTGATTCTTATTATCGATATAGTCATACTTATCTGTCGTCTTCTTGCTGGATTAGCTCTATTTCCTTCTTGATTTGTTGTTCTTCGTAGTGGAGTTGCTAGCTAGTTATGCGGGGGGTGATTAGTTCTAGTCGCTGAATTCGTAGCATCTCGTTAAGTTGTTCAACTGGTTTTCTAGCCACTTTGCTGTTGCTGGAATGCATTATTGCCAGGGTCCTAGGGCGAGTGTCTGGGATGGTCATATTGTAACCAGACCGTCTAGGGTTGCTATCCCTTAGGTAGTGTCCTAACATTTCTTTGTCTTCGAGGTGAATTCAGCAGTTATTATCATAGCATCTGGTCTATAATTAGGATGCATGTGGGGCTTTTGCAATTATGTTGACTTGTCGAGGTCGTTCTGCCACTGGTCTCTAGGGAAGCTTCTTAGGCTGTCTGCAGTCTTTAGCGATATAGCCTTGCTTGTTGCAGTTGTAGCACTTAGGGTTCCAAGGTTTTTTATTATTAGGTTTAGTTATTATGCTGAGATCTATAGGTCTGCTGTGTTATCTATAGGCGGTGCTCTGGCGGGTGTTATTCCAGTTGTTGCAGGGTCTGTTGTCGTTCCGCTGGCTGTTAAACTTCTGTTGAGGCTGCTATTAGTACTTGCGTCCTGAATTTAGGTTTTGTTATTTCTCTCCTCGTTCCTTTCGTCGTTTATAGAGGTGGTTGTCAACCTTAATAGCATGTTCGATATAGGCGAGGAAGCTAGGAGGTGTCTCCAGTTTGGCCATTTCGTCTTTAACATCGTCCTTAAGTCCTTAATAAAAGGCAAAAACTTTGCTTTCGTCGGTTATGTGGAGTCTTGCAGCTAATCGCCTAAACTCTGTGGCGTAGAGCGTAGCTGACTTGGTTTGTCGTAGGTGGGATAGGTCTCGCTCAGCCTGTCTTCGTTCATCAGGGTTAAGGAAGAGAGATTCTAGGGCCTTGATATAGCCTGTGAAGCTGAAGAAGATATCCTTAACTTCTTAGCTGTATTTTTCGACAGGGTTATCAAGCTATTCCTGTTAAAGGGGTTCGAACCAGGCAAGGGCTTATCCCTAAAGGAAGGTGGCTGCATGTATAATGCGTTCGGTGTCGTTCTGGAAGGTGTTTATATGGAAGGCCTGGTAGGTTCAAACTTATACCAGGTGTCCTTTGAGTTGTCCTAGGGTCCTGTCGAAAGTGGAAGGCGTGTTAAGCTTAAGGCGTTCTCGTCCTTCGACTGGGGCGGATATGACGTTGGCGGCAGCTTGGAGGGTGGCGACTTCTTTCTCCAGATCCTGGTTCTTGCAGGCTTGTTCCTGGAGTTCGCTAAGGGCTGCAGCGTTCTGGTTGAACATTTCGCGCATTGCCTTGAAGTCGCTGTTGGTCTTATTGAGCTGGCGCTCAAGTTCTTCAGTGTCGTCTTTGCTGTCTGAGTCGTCCTTCATCTTTTGGTCTCCTAGTTCCTAGGCTAGGTTTTGGGTGGCTCGTCCTCCTGAAGTGGACGAGGATCCCAGGGTAGGCGACTTAACAGAGGCGTGGGAAGACATTGTCGTTCGTTACTGTTAGTAGGGATCAATAGTCAACTTACTGAACAGGAGCAATCAAAGTGTTACGGTCAGCTATCTGACAGTAGGGTCTGCTAACAGAAGCTGGGGATTAATACGTTCTAACAGTACACTAGGTTGTGGTCGTAGGTCGTAGTTCGTAGGCTGTAGTAGATCGGGTCTTCAGAGGCTAAGGTGATCAGTCTTAGACTCAATAAGTGATTCGCAGTGAAGGTAAGCTGAGAGTATCCGTGAGGATGAATACTAAGTTAATTGCTGAAGAGCTATAGAAGTCTGACCATAAGCCAGGCTCAAGGTCATACTATATATAAGTTCTGAACAGTACCTTTTACTCTATCACTGATCCCTTACCAGGTACCAGTGAGCGCTTATTGACTGTTAGTGAGCGCTCAGTAACTTCGACTGAGCGCTCAGTGATCCACACTGCCTGCTCAGTCTTATCTTATCATCACGTGACTCATATCATAGTTCTTCCGTCTCCGAGTGAGTCCCTGTTGTTCCCGTGATCCTGCAGTACAAATGTCCTGTCCTAGCCGCCCGACGCCTGAGTGGGTCGTTCAGCTGTTATCCTTGTTTACGGGTCGTAACACTATAGCCAACCCTTTAACACCTCCACCTTAGCAGTTATAAACGCCCTCTAACCTACAACAAACTATCTCACAGTCTAACTTTATTAAAAGTTATATCTCTACTTATTAAGGAAGCTTACTAACACTAATTATTACTATAGTTAAGTAATTATTAAAGGGTGTATAGGTAATAATATACTTAATCACTATTTTAACTAATCAGCTTTATACCTTTAAGGATATAAATATAGCACTTACTAAGTACTAGAAGGCTAAAAGAACGTAGGTCCAGCTTAAAGGGGCACTTAGTATAGAGGAATCTTAGGTTTTACTTAAAGGGAAACAAAAAGGGAAACATCCAGCACCTCAAGAGGACGATAAGGGGGGTCCATCAAAGAGAGCCCAGCCAGCTTGGAGACGCTATAGTATATGTGGTGAGACTGGGCATAACGCGCAAACCTGTTCCAAAGATGTCGAACCCTCAGGAGATTCTGATAGCAACAACTAGTAGTTAATTTAATACGTTATGGTTGAGAAATACTAGATGTTATTGTGTACGTGGGAAAAAAACGTCCAGCTGACTGGTCCGGCCGGCTGACTACTGAACCACGTTATAAATATTTTCATCAAATTTCTAAGGAACATCATTTTAACCCCGAAGATCCTGGTTGCGTTTAAAAAGAACATCAACTAACCCGGCAACGAATACGTGAAAGAAAGAAGTTACAAGCAGGAGCGAAGGCGAGCCAAATCTCGTTCAGTATTATTTAGCCTTTTCAGAATATACCTCAATGTCTTCTCGCTGAGACTTTATATCCCATCAAAGACGTTGCAACGAGCAGGATTATGCCTTCGTCTCTACAAATTTGCAATGCTATTTCTCTTGCTATTATACAGCTGTCTACGATGAACGCTCCCTCGTTGCAGTAGACGTCTTCCATGGTTGATACGAGCTTCTCGCGAGAGACAAGTCGAAGAAAACCCGTCAGTCAACACATGACGGGTGTTGTGAGAGATGAGATTCTACCTTGCCTAAGGTACATAGGGCTTCAAAAACATCCCTGAGGCGACTGATTTGGGAGGAAAAGTGAGTTTGAAGCAGTTCAAAGACCAATCAAGGACATAGATGAATGTTGCGTCTTGATTCGACCCTCGCATTTCGGCGTATGACCTAGAGTCGTAAAGATGCCCACATGCGCGGAAATTCTCATCAGCATAGAGACTGCGCGACTGCGCATTGCCGAGTAGGTTTCCTAACCCACACAGTACACAGTTTCACAGTGGGAAGAAAGCAGTAAAAGCACCTCTGCCATCGCAACTGCGTAATAGTATTTGATCCAGGTGGCTGATGCGGCATATGTAAAGGCAACGAGACATAGCCCCAGTCACGAGTGGGCTCAGTAAATGCGCCTCTTACGTGGGAGCGTCACTATTGATGGATACTCTTTAGAGGTCTATTTGGCCTTGCCCTTGGCACATGTGGTCAGCAATGTGCACATTCCTACCCGGAAATCTGGTTGGACGTTGCTTCGCGGGCCTTTTCAGCAAGCATCCCATTCCTCCCACTTAAGCATGAAAAGACCAAGCAAGCATGCCCCCCCACGACGGGCTATTGCTTGGCACTGGAATTGAGGTGTCATTTGAAACTTAAAATTACATAGCAAAAGCAAGTAAACTACGGCCAGGAGTCACCGCACTCGTTCTCGTCGTCGGCAAGTCGCGGCCCTTAACAGCAACGGTTTAAGGCTGCCAACGGTTAACGTACCCGTCTTGGCGAAGCTGACGTGCCCGCGTCATCTTTTATGGGGACAGAGCCTCAATCTTATTTCCAGCACTCATCCCATGACAAGTTTATGTCCCAGGTTGACTCACTGTTCCGGGTGTCTTACCCGCTCACAGAAATGTTCGCGGGTCGAACGACTTTTGGGGGCTAAAGGTTGCGAATAGAAGCGAACGAAATCACTCCCCTTACAACGTCGGCCAACTCCGGCCGTCACCGTCTGTCTTACCCTCCACAAACATCTAGTCCAAAAATGCAGGCATCCAAATTTTCGGTATTTGCTGGCGTACTTTCGGACCCAGACGCTCGGAAACGGCCCCCAAAACCACCGCATCGGTGAGTGCTCCCAACAGTATGGAAAGGCCGCACCTCACACATCCCAGGCAGGCCACATGAACAACGCTTATTGCCGGGTAAAGCACTCGATGCCTTGCGGTTCGCGGCGCCAATGGGACATCTTTGTCGGCACACTATTGCTGTGTCGGGTTTGAAAGTCGCTGTGTGGTACTAACTGGAATTGCTGCCTTGGAAGTTGGCCCGGGGAGCAGGAGGCCAATATGTCGACCGGTTCGCATGAGTACGACGAAGCACGACAGCGGAAGGCTTGATAAAGGGAAGTTTCTCTATTTAAACTGCATCTTTCGAAGGATTCATCTGGAGGAACACCATCAGGCATCATTTTCCTCGCTAGACATCTTACTTCCCTTTTCAGAACACATTCTTACTTTGACCACCGTCATGAGACTCGAAATCGCCCAGAGGTTCGAGCAAGTCGGCTCAGTACTCGTCCATGATCTCCAGCGTATTCTGGAGGTGGACGCTGGGTACGGCCACAGCACCCCCTTCAGTCAGACCGTCTCGCAAGACAAGCTCTTCGCTATCGAATCCAAGATGGCCATCATCATCCTCTGCATGAACGAAAAGCCCAACGTCATTGACGACCTCTTCTCCGGCATCCCTCACGGCTGCACAATCATATTCGTCTCCAATAGCAGCCGAGGAGAACACGACGGAGTCGACAACTACAGAACAGAAGTCAGTCTTCTGAAAAACTTCTGCCGCCTTACAGGACGCCAGGCCATCGCCATCCACCAGAAAGACCCAGCCGCCGCGGAAGCATTCAAAGCAGCAGGCGCACCCGACCTCATCGACCCATCCACTGCCATCCCGACAATCCGCAACGGAAAGGGCGAAGGAATGCTCATGGGCATGACCCTCGCCGCCATGGAGGGCTGCGAGTACCTCGGCTTCATCGACGCCGACAACTACATCCCCGGCTCCGCCTTCGAGTACTGCAAGTCCTTCGCCTCGGGACTCTACCTCGCCCAGTCGGCCGACGCCATGGTCCGCATATCGTGGGGCTCGAAGCCCAAGTACCGCGACAACGAATGGGTCTTTGAGCGCCGCGGGCGGTGCTCCGAGGTCGTCAACGGGTGGCTGAACCGGCTCCTCGAGGAGATCTACAGGGAAACCGGCAGTGAAAGCACGTACACCAACATCATCGAGACCGGCAACGCGGGCGAGCACGCGATGACCATGGCGCTGGCCACGAAGATGGAGATGGCCGGTGGCTTCGCCGTCGAGCCGTATGAGTACATCTTCCTGCTGGAACAGATGGGGAAGAGCGGCGATGCGAAGGCTGCGGCCGCGAGTCTGGTGCACATCCACCAACACATGACTCGCAACCCGCACTTGCACGACAACAAGGGCACTGGCCACGTGGGGGGTATGCAGTCCCAGGGGCTGAATGTGATCTACCACTCGCCGCTTACTCCGGAGGGGATGAAGAAGGACTTGCTGGAGGAGATGGTCGAGAAGGGGTTGCTGCAACAGGGAGAGACGCCGAGAAAGGAGAGAGTGTATCCGGCAATCAAGGATTTGGACTTGAGGAAGCTTAACAGAGTGTTTGAAAACGCCAAAAGTCTTCAGATAAGCACAGAACAACCACAGAGGAAGACCTGGCTTTGATGCTCTCCTTCAACTTTTGCTTGGTAGAGTTGCACAGCATACCGTCTGCCGGCTCATCTTTCTTATGCTATCATGCCCCAACTAGATTATCGCCCTCAGGGGAGTTTGCTTTCATATTTTCTAGCATTTTGCAAGCCAGGTGTTTCTTCTCTAGATAGATAGCGACCACAATTGAACACAGCACTTATATCTTTTCTAACACCTACCAACAATTCGTGTATGACGTGTTGTTGCCTTAAATGTGGACATCTTCTTCCTAAATCCCTAATACCGGAGCTGGTGCTGACACGGAGAATACCACGCTGTCCGACGAATGTATCGTACGGCATTACAGGAGATTAGAGAAGTCCGTTGATTACTATTCTATGTCCTATTCAGCGGGGCACAGCTATTATCCTACGACTTCGCCCAAATTGTGTCTCCACCGACTCATGTGCGTAGGAAGCACGTACCTATGCCATGGGCCCGGGGCGGACCCCGAGCTCGCTTTCGTTCCGGTGAGCGACTCATGATCATGACCCGTGCTTCCCGTCCAGTATGACGATCTAAACCTATTGCGAGCG